GATAATTGTAGCAGAATATTGACAGAGAACTTCCAGAAATGCAAGGTGGATTCAGAAGAGGATGTGGAATGAAGGATTTCATTGCTGATGTCAGATGGACCTTGGCTGAAAGCAAAGAATACCAGAAAGATGTTTACTTCTGTTTTACTGACTTTGCAAAAGCACTCAACTGTGTAGATCATAACAAATTACGGATAACGTTGAGAAGAATAAGAATTTTAGAACTTAATTGTGCTCATGAGGAACCTGTTCATAGACCAGGAGGCTGTCATTTGAACACAACAAGGGGATACTGCATGGGTTAAAATCAGGGGAATGCACCAGGGTTGAATCATTTCACCATACTTATTCACTCTGTATGCTGACCAAATAATCCGAGAAGCCTGACTATATGAAGAAGACTGTGGCATCAGGATGGGCCCAGGTATGGCAAGGACCGTGAGTGTGCCACAGGACGGGGAAGCATTTTGTTCTGTTGTACAAAGGGTCGTTATGAGTCAGAGACAACTCAATGACACCTAACAATAATAACAGTGACCTTACAGGACAGAGTAGAACCACCCCCACAGAGTTTCCAAGACTGTAAATCATAACAGAAACAGACTGCCACATCTTTATCCTGCAGAATAGCTAGTGGATTTGAACTGCTGATCTTTTGGTTCACAAGTGAGTGTTTAATCACTGTGCCACCAGGGCTTTATCAGAAACACACCAGAGTAGCTGAAAATAAACACTTATTCATAAAACCAAACATATATAGCAATGCAAACATTCATACACTGGTAGAAGTATAAATTGATTCAAACACTTTAGAAAACTATCAGGAAATTATTGCTAATTTTCTTAGATGTGATAATGGTAGTATCGTTACTCAGGAAAATGTCTTTGTTACTCAACAATGCATACTAAAATACTAATGATAAATTATGATACCTGCAGTTTTCAAACAGTTCAGAAAAAAAATATACACACACATAAACACTGAATAGAGAAACAGAGATAAAGCAAGTACTTTCAGATGTTAACAATGGTTAAATCTTTGTTTAGTGCTCTATTATTTCAACATTTCTACCTGAAAATTTTCAAAATAAAAAGATGCAAAACAAAGATCCAAGGGTTCTAAGATCTTAATACTACCCTCAAAAGCTATTTTGTCAACTCACATGGTCAATGGCTTTTCTCTTAGACCGAACAACAGATCCTTATCCCAAGTGTGTGGAGTCCCTGGGAGGGGTACAAACAGTTAAACACTCAACTACCAGCCAAAAGACTGGCAGTTCAAACCCATCCAGAAGGGCCTTGGAAGACAGGTCTGGCAACGTGCTTCTGAAAGGTGACAGCCTTGAAACCCTATCTAGCAGTTCCACTCTGCATACACAGGCTTGCCAGTAGTTAGAACTGAAAGCAACTAGCACCAACAGTAACACTCCAAGATTAAGGAGCCTGGGTGGTACAAGCAGTTTGAGTTCCAGCTGATAACGTAACAGTTGGTAGCCTGAGTGCACCCAACTCTATAAAAGACCTGGAATACGGCTTCTATAAAGATTTGTTGTTGTTAGGTGTCTTTGAGTTGGCTCTGACTCACAGTAACCCTACATACAACAGAACGAAACACTGCCCAGTCCTGTGCCAGCCTCATAATCCTTATCACACCTAAGCCCATCACTGTAGCCACCCTGTCAATCCATCTCGTTGAAAGCCTTCCCCTTTTTCATTGACCCTCCACTTTACCTAGTATGATACCCTTCTCCAGGGAATGGACCCTTCTGACAATACGACCAAAGTAGATGAGACAAATTCTGGCCATTCTCACTTCTAAGGAGCATTCCAGCTGCACTTCTTCCAGGACAGATTTGTTAGCTCTTTTGGCAGTTCATGGTACTCTCAGAATTCTTTGCCAAAACAACTCAAAAGCATCAACTCTTCTTCAGTCTTCCTTATCCAGTGTCCAGCTCTCACATGCTTACAAGGCAATTGAAAATACCATAGCTTGGGTTAGGCGTACCTTAGCCTTTAAAGCGACATCTTTGCTCTTCGGCATTTGAAAGCTCTTTTGCAGCAGATTTGCCCAGTGCAATACATTGTCTGATGTCTTGACTGTTCCTTACATTGAAGCTGATTGTGGATCCAAGTAATATGAAATCTTTGATAACTTCAATCTTTTCTCCACTTATTATGATGTTGCTTATTGGTCCAGTTGTGAGGAATTTCATTTTCTTTATGTTGAGATATAACCCATATTACAGACTGTAGTCTTATCTTCATCAGTAAGTGCTTCAAGTCATCGTCACTTTCAGCAAGCAAAGTCGTGTCATCTGTGTATCACAGATTGTTAATGAGTCTTCCTCCAATCCTGATGCCATGGTCTTCATATAGTCCAGTTTCTCGGATTATTTGTTCCACATACAGATTGAATAAGTATGGTGAAAGGATACAACCCTGATGCACTCCCTTCCTGATTTGAAAGCATTCAGTATCCCCTTGTCGTGCTCGAAGGACAGCCTCCTGGTCTATGTACAGGTTCCTGATGAGCATAATCAAGTGTTACAGAATTCCCATTCTTCTCAATGTTATCCACAATTTGTTATGATCCATACAATCAAATGCTTTTGCATGATCAATAAAACACAAGTAAACATCTTTCTGGTATTCTTTGCTTTCAGGCAAGATCTACTTGACATCAGCAATGACATCCCTTGTTCCACACCCTCTTCTGAATCCAGCTTGCATGTCTGGAAGTTCTCTGTCAATATACTGCTGCAACCGTTTTTGAATTATCTTCAGTAAGATTTTACTTGTGTGAGATATTAATGATATTGTTCGATAACTTCCACATTTTGTGGGATCACCTTTCTTTGGAATGGGTATAAATATGGACCTTTTCCTGTCAGTTGGCCACATAGCTGTCTTCCAAAAAATCTCTTGGCATAGACGAGCAAGCGCCTCCAGTGCGGCATCCATTTGTTGAAACATCTCAATGGGTACTCCGTCAATTCCTGGAGCCTTGTTCTTCCCCGATTTCTTCAGTGCAATTCAACGTCTTCCTTCAATACCATTGATTCTTGATCATACGCCACTTACTGAAATGGATGAACATTGACCAATTCTTTTTGGTACAGCAACTTTGTGTATTCCTGCCATCTTCTTTTGATGTTTCCTCTACAAATCAATATTTTGCCCATACAATCTTTCAATATTGCAACTTGAGACTTTAATGTTTTCTTCAGTTCTTTCAGTTTGAGAAAATCCCAGCATGTTCTTCCCTTTTGGTTTTCTAACTCCAGATCTTTGTACTTTTCATTATAATTGATTTTATCTTCTCGAGCTGCTCTTTGCAATCTTGTTTGTAAAGATTACAGCCAAGAAAACCCAATGCAAAAGTTCTACTCTGTAACACATGTGGATGCCATGAGTAGGGGCTTATTCCACCACAGTGAACAACAACTTCCCAAATGTATAGGTACCATAAAACAGAAACTACTTCAGTTTCTAATATTCCAATACATCAGAAATAAAGGTGTACTCTAAGTCTAAAACTAATCCTTACATGTATATTCTGATTCCTCTCTATGTGTACCTACTCTGTCTCTGATCCCTTAATCAGGGCAAGCAAAGCCCTGATTTCTTCCAAAGGAGAAAAAATTTAGGAGGCATTTACTCTTAGCCTGAAAGTGAGTGCCTCTTTCAACGTTATGCCTGATATCTCTTCCCTAAAAGTCCTAAAATATTTACTGTACTTACTTTTCCCAAGTCCTATAACTCATCTGTCATTTTGTCATAGAGTAGTGGCTTGTGTGTTGCTGTGATGCTGAAAGTTATACCACTGGTATTTCAAATACCAGCAATGTCACCCATAGTGGACAGGTTTCAGTGAAGCTTCCAGACTAAGACAGACTAGGAAGAAGAATCTGACTTCTAAAAAACTGGTCAATAAAAACCTTACGAATAGCAGTAGAACACTGTCTGATATAGTGTTCTATAACAGGGTGGAAGGCACTCCAAATATGACTGTGGAAGAGTTGTCCACAGGATTTACAACAATGGGCTACAAAATAGTAAGGATTATGAGGATGGTGCAGGAACACAGGGTTGCTATGAATCAGAACTGACTAGATAGCACCTAACAACAATAACCTTCAATTCTCATCCACCTTCGTTTTTCCCTTTCACTACTTACTGATCTTCTCCCCACTCCCAAAAACCACATAAACATACTTTGTTCACTGTTAAAAGAACTGTTTCTATATGATACAGCATTCCCATTTCCCATTTCACCAAAAACTGCAGTGACCAGTGAATAAACAAAAAGGAAAATAATGGCCTTAGAGGTGTCAAATCTAAAATATACTTGCCAATCATAGTTCTAAATTCTCAAATGTTTTAAAATTCCATCTTTGAATGGAATTCTTCCTCTGATAGACACACACTTGATTTCCAGATTCTCCTGCCATTCTGTATCTTTGTCCCTGGGTTCCCCTCTCCCCTTTCACCTGTCCTTTAAGTACAGAATAGAATTCTACCTTCAGCCTTCTTTTTTATCCTAAATACCTCCTCTGTGCTTTCATCTAACCCTAACCTTCTGACCCCAAATCATTATCAACAGCCTTGACTATCTTACATTCCAGATTCCTATAAGCAAATATCTATCAGGTATTGCAAATGTGCCCAAATTCATAACCTTTACCTTAAACACCTATTCCTTTACCTGTATTCCTCATTTTGATTAACACTATCATTCACCCTAGTAACAAAGTCAGAATCCACACTTTCATCCCCTATCTTCTCTCACATCGTCTTCAAAGACCAGCTTACTATTCTCTAAGTCTACTGCAATAATTTCTTAATGACCTGGTTCTTTTCTTTTTTCTTCACCACTTACCCCCTACCTTCTTTGTCCTTCACATTCTGAGTAATAATTCCCAAAATAAGAAAATGCAAATACATGTAATTAAATATCTGGGAAATGTCATATGCTATCAAAGGTAAAATGAATTTCTTACCTTTGCCCCCATATCCACAAGTTGGTTCGTAAATGTCTTTGAATAATTTTCTGTTCCATTGGATGACCACACTTCAACATATGCCACTACATCTGAAAACAAAATATTAACATGAAATTAATATTTGCACTTCCAGCATTCCTCACCCAATGATTTCAAGACTTTTCTCTCATTCCATTTACTATAAAAAATAAATTTAAAATTTCTTCCATAAAAGCTTACTCAACTTTAAATATTCATCAGTGCTATTATGGTTCTTAAAATTTTAAATGTTGTTGTTGTTGTTATGTGCCATCGAGTCAACCCTGACTCATAGCAACTCCTCCTTGGGTTTCCAAGGCAGCATCACTACGGAAGTAGGACTGCCCAACCTTCCTTCCGAGGAGTGGCTGGTGGGTTTGAACCGCCAGCCTTCTGGTTAGCAGTCAAGTGCTTTAGCCACTATGCTACCAGAGCTCCCTAAAATTTTAAATAAAGAACTTTAATCATACACATATCACAGTTTACATCGTTAATACTCTCATGCCTTTCTCAAATTCCTAAACTAGGCTTAACTCTTCCAGTGCAGTAGCAAAAGATTTTATGTAAACTATTAGGTAGTAAATATTTTAGGATTTGTAGGACATATGGTCAGTGTCTCAAGCATTCAACTTTGCCATTGTAGCATTAATGAGTAGTGCTGTGTTCAATAAAACTTTATTTGTTGTTGTTGTTTGCTGTGGAGTCAGCCCCGACTCATAGCGACCTCTCCTTGGGTTTCCGAGGCAGTATCACTACAGAAGTAGGATTGCCCAACCTTCTTTCCGAGGAGTGGCTGGTGGGTTTCAACCGCCAGCCTTCTGGTGAGCAGTCAAGTGCCTTAGGCACTATGCTACCAGAGTTTATGGACACTGAAATTTGAATTTTATATACTGTTCAGATGGTTCAGATAGGTCTTTAGCTGAATGCAAAGAATACCAGAAAGATGTTTACTTCTGTTTTATTGACTACACAAAAGAATTCAATTGTGTAGATCATAACAAATGATGGATAACATTAAGAATGGAAATTCCAGAACACTTGATTATACTCCTAAGCAAACTGTACATAGATCAGGAGGCTGTCATTCGAACAGAACAAGGTGATACTTTGTGGCTCAAAATCAAAAGTCAGCAGGTCAAGGTTGAATCCTTTCACCATACTTATTCAACTTGCACGCTGAGCAAATAATCCAAGAAAGTGGATTATATGAAGAAGAACATGGCATCAAGACTGGAGGAAGACTCATTAACAACCTGCAATACACAGATGACACAACTTTGCTGGCTGAATGTGACAACGACTTGAAGCACTTACTGATGAAAATTAAAGATACAGTCTGCCTCAATATAAAGAAAACAAATATCCTCACAAGTGGTCCAATAAACAGCTTGAAGGGGTTTGAAGTTGTCAAGGACTTCATATTACTTGGGTCTACAATCAACACCAACGGAAGCAGCAGTCAAGACATCTGACGAGGGGCTTCTGGCAAGATGGCGGACTAGGCAGAAGGATT